GGAGATAGCTCAGTAGAATAAGCATTTACCTGGCAAGCGCAAGGGCCTGAGTTCAATCCCTGGTTCTGCCAAAAAAAATGAGAGAGAGAGAGAGAGAGAGAGAGAGAGAGAGAGAGAGAGAGAGAGAGAGAACAACATTTGAAGGAAATGGTCTTGATGAATAAAAAATACCAAATACCAATTTAAGACTGGGATGATGGTATGTGCCTGTAACCCCAGCACTTGGGAGGCTGAAAACAGGAGGATCACTACCAGTCCAATCTGTGTAGTGAGATCTTGTAGATCCTATACTAAATACAGAAAAAAAAAATTTCCATAAATACAGAGAATTCATTGGACTCCAAGGAAGATTCCACATCTGGGCATCTCATGGTGAAAATGACAAAACACCAAAGTTAAAAAGACTTGTTTTAAGAAGTTTGAGAAAAAAATCTTCAAAAGAAGCTAAATATACTGATTTTTTTCCTCAACAAAACAAAGGATGACAAAAACAGAAAAAAGAAAGTCTTATAAATACATATGTCCTTTAAAGTCCTATGAGAAAATAACCGCACACTTAAATTTGTTTACCCTGAAAAACTCTTCCAGAATCAGACTGAAATAAAAACATCTTCAGATAAATAAAAGCTGAGAGGTTAACACAGACTCAAGGGCCTTAAGTAAAGGACTGTTATAGTCAGGGATTACAAGGAAAAATATTTAATACAGGAAACATAATTAATAGAATTATTTTATAATTTTCACCCAAACAGTCAAATGTAAAAGAGTATGGAACATCTGTCCACACACTAGAATCCCCAAGAATCCTAAGGACCTGGATCTCTAGCCAATGTCCTTCACAAGTCCAGGTAAATATCTAGAGCCCATCGTAATGTCCTCCATGAGTCCAGCTGGACATGTCTTATGCAAGTTGTATTAAAGATCTGCATTGGGAAGGCTGAAAGGTAAGTGCTGGAAGCTAGGAAGTATGCACCAACAGGTTAGAGGATCTGGGCCAGCAGGCTGAGAGGTCTGCACTGGAGCCAGGAAGTGATACTCAAGATAAGGAACACAGCTCCCCTGACGAGAATCACAGCCATCTTCAGCAGCAGTGAGGTCCCAAGCTCCTCCAATGATGAGAATAGCCAAGTTCCTACCAGGAAAGCCAGCATGAGAGGCTGCTCCAGGAGAATCAACCACACACTATCATCCCCTCTAGTTCTCTTTTTTATGCTGTTGGCAACAATCCTCAGGTGGGCCTTCCACGCCAGCACCACACTAATCAGTTCATCTTGGTGTTATAAATTGACCATTAGTTAGTCCACCACAAGGACCTACAGAGCATACATTGCAGGCTAATACAGTCTCAGGTTAGACATACAAAAAGAAATGGTATGGTAGAGACACTGTCAGACACACAGGCAGGGACAGTTATTTTTTAGTGTTATGACAGGACAGTTGTACAAGACCCAAGTTCTGACAAGGACTTTGTGTCTCAGGCTTAATGATCTGTAGGCACCATCCAGCATGTTCTAATAATTTTATCTTTGGATTTGTATTTTTAAGTGAAGACTAATGAGTTAAGCATGTTCTAGGGGCATGGGGCATCAACACTGGCACAGTTTCACCTTTTGCTACTGCACAGCCTTCCTCAAACTATCTCCCCTGCCTGCACCCAGGGACTGCTGCTGTCTTTACTGTAATATATCCATGCCTGAAGGAGTGTGACATAAAACAGCACAGAAAACCCTCTGTGGCAGGTTGAGTGAGAAACATGGTACACTGGGGTTATGGGTGTGAGTGCTGCTGGGATTATGGGTGTGAGTACTATGCCTAGCCTGGGGCAGATAGCCTGAATGCAACTTAAGGGAGACAGACTTGCTCCCTGTTGCCATTGTTGTTGCTACTCCTCCCACTTGCTCTTGCTGCTTTGCTATATTCCACCACCAGGAACTGCTGCCCTCTGCCATGTGCCTCTCTGCCTTGGAGCTAGCCTTGTATGGACTGAAATTTCCACTAACTATGAGCTAAATGAACCTTTCTTTCCTTATTTCTGGATATCAGGTATTTGTCCCAGCAATGTGAAAAAAGTAACCGAGATACAAAAGGGTCTAATATTTTTATTTTGGGTCCGGAAAATTATGGAGCCAGACTTGAATGTAGGTAAATATAAACTAATACTGTTTATTTAAAATAATAATTTGGGTAATGTGTTTTGAAGAAATGAACAAAAAGAAAAAAAAAAACGGACAAAAATGCAGTACCTACATCAGAAAGGCAGCTAAAACAAGCATCCTCTGGTCCATTCAAGAGTTTAACTTTGGACTTCATTAAAGATATGGTAAAATTTCTAATGCAACTACTGCAAGAATAAAAACCAAACACACTGATTGTGAGAAATTGGCATTAAGAAAATATTCAAAACTCCAATAATCCTCCCTCAAAAAGGCTACAAGTGAGAAAATAGTGAAGAAAAAGAGAGAGGAAAAGAAAGTTTCAAATAATAATAATAAAAAGGAATTAGAAGAGAGAAACAGATGATATCAATAAGCCAACCCTACTTGTATGCTGTTTAGGAAAAATATTCCTAAAACATTCGGATATGTAAAGAAAAAAGAAAAAGTTTGAAAATATGTAACAGGGATATATTAAAGGGGAATAAGAATGTTACTATATTATTATAAAGCAATAAACTTTAAGACAAAAGTCATTATGAGGGGCTGATAATGAGAATAGACTTAAATTACTATGAACATTCCAATCTCGTGCATTTATCA